CCCCAAAACCCCAAAACCCCAAAACCCCGTTAAGGGATGATTTGGTTGAATTTTAGTATCTATTATATCGTAGTGATGAGTACTGATAATATCGGAAATTTCAGCCAAAAATCTGTGTGTAGAGATGTTCAGAAGGAGAACCATCAAAATCCTAACTCGAATGTGAATGAAACAACATTCAACGAAACTTCTAAGTCTAAAACAAGAGCTCGCCTTCTGAGCAATGGGTCTTCACTAGATCTCTTCTTAGAAGACTCAAAATCAAGCTATCACACAAATTCCAAAGACAGCAACAATCCCTCTCCCAGAAGTCACCAAAATTCCCAACAATCCCACCATACCAGCACCACAAAGCTCTCTAAACGCAGAAAAATAGTCGAGAAAAAGAACAAAATCAGCCAAATCATAGATCAAATCTTCACTGAAGACATATTCAAAACTCCTTTACAAAGCAAGTGAGACTACTTCTACTCGGCTTACAACCCATTAACCTTCGAGAAGCCCTACATGCAGTTTGAAGAGGCCAGCTGCGATCAAGCATGCGACTTGAGCGGCAAGAAGTATTGGACCAAGATCTGCAATAATGTGCTTACCACAAGCACATTGCTAAGGCGCTTTCTTCAGACAGTCAACAAGGGAATGTATTCCACTCTGAAATAATTTTGCAAAGAAATATCTAGTCAAGCTCTTAGTAGGCCGCAGGTCTTATTTAGATTTCAATGGGAACCACAACCCTGACCTTGTTAAGAGCGTTAATGTCCTTAAGAGAATTGTGGGCGAGGGAAGACTATTAAGCATGAAGTGTTCTAAGGGGGAAACAGAAGCAAGTTCATTAGAAGGATTCAAGAATGAAGTTATACTTGCAGTATTGAGCATTTTTAGATCTAAGATTGACCTTAAAAGTACAGTTCATCAGAAAGAACGCTTAAGAGTAGAATCTGGTAAATTGGAGGGAAAGAATTTAGATGATAATTTTGCTCAGGGAATGAGAATTTTGTAAAGGAGTAGAGAGTATATAAAGAGTTACTATATCTCTGAGTCGTTATTTCCATGAAACCAAAGCTAATCCTTCTATTAGAATTAATAACTCAAACTTCACTAACGTCTAGCTCTAAAAATACCCAAAACTCTCTACAAACCCCATATCCTTAGGCTACAAGTTCTTAATCATCTCTAAGTGCTTCTTATTTGTTCAATCTTCTTAATAGCCCACTTAAATCTGACCTCAATCCTTCAATACCAGCTGACCTTATCTTTTAGACGAAAATAATAATCCTACAAAAACCCAGGCCAAAATTTCAAAATTAAGTTTCACAGATCCCTACTCCTTATTAAGCACTTTAGGTCCGAGTCCTCAGAAGACTTCAGGCCATAGGGCTTTTAAACCTTGAAAGCCGCTTCAAGGAAGAAGTCTTGCAAGTGGCGCTAGGAATGTTAGAGTTGCCTGAGTAGAAAGTCTAAGGAGGAGAGATTATTCAGGGCAGGATTTGGCATCCAGAAAATATGATCTCTCTAAGGTTTCAACCTCTGGATCTTCTTGACAACAGAAGAATAGTTATTATCAGAGTAGAAGGAAATTTAAGCCTCTTAAGATGCATAACTCACGGCCTAATGTTCAGATTTCTAAAACTGATCCGAAGGCGAGTAGTGGGTGCCATAAAGGGAATACTACAGTTCTAGATCATCCTTTTAATGCCAAAAGAAAAATATTCCAAAGTAAAGAGAGACCGATGGTACGCCTAGCAGGAATAAGATTGCGAAAAATATGTAAATCTCGGATCAGAACCACTTCAAAAGACTTGATCGGTAAAAAATCTAAGCATAATTACTAACTTACAAAATTGTTAAGAGGTCTTACTCAGCGTGATCTCTGAAATTGCTCAACCTATTGGGCTCAGCTTGGCTTTAAATTTACTACGAATGATGTAAATCTGCAGTTGCCAGAAATTATGAAGATCTGAGTTCAACTCTTCAGATATTTTAAGGGGTTTTGGGGTTTTGGGGTTTTGGGG